AGAGGATAAGGTTATTGAATCCAAAGGGGTCCCGGAGAATGGAAGACAACTAGATGTGGAAGGGGATGGGTCTTGAGCAGGGCACTGCCGATGTTAAGAAATTTGCAAGCTCGCTAGCAAGTGCATGTTTTCCGTCAAGGTGAAAACCACACCGGGTAAAGTGTTTTTTCTGAGAGAAATTTTAGCACAAATACTTTAACATTTGTGCCTGTCACGTGCAGTTTCAATTGGTTATTTGCATGTCTAATTTCTTTGCAGAGTGTTGGTTTGTTGCAGAGTCGAGATTATAATGTTAGCGTTGTGGGGGGGGGGGCACGGTGTAGTTTGTCAACATGTTGATCAGATGTATTGTGACCACCCAAATTAATGTCATTTGCCTTCCGGTGATGATCCCTCTAGTGAAAGTCTCTGTGTGGGTGTCCAACTCAATGGTCATGTCGGGGAACCTCCCGTTAGGTTTAAACACACTCGTGACAGAGAAATTGGATGGGAGTTTCCAACGGATCAGGGAGGAGATTTGTCGCTCAAGACTATGAGCTAAAAGTAGTACCATTTTGATGGGCCCAGGGGGAATGTCCTTGTTTACGGGTGGGCTATGTTTCGCAATTCCATGTGTACTTGTTAATTTGCGCTTGCCAGTCTGTTTGCGTTGGTTAGAATATGGACGTGTCAATGATGGGGGCAGGGGGTAGTGAGGATTGGGAGGGCAAGGAAACTCATGCCATAATCTAATGCAGAAAATCTGTTTGAAGTCGAGATTGGTAGTGGTGATTGTGTTTTTGCTTCCGTGGATGGACGGTTGAAAGATTCTGCGGTGTTACCCATTGTTGTCCAATCGTCGGTTTTGAACGACCTCTTCGATCTTCCGGATATATTGTTGTAGTCTATTGTTAACGTGTGTGAAGGCTGGCTTTCAGTGTACAGAGTAGAAAGTAGAGCGAATACTAGCCATATTACGAATGCGTATCAAAGTGCACAGTAAATATGAAAATAAATAAATGAGTAACCCAGACAAATGTACAAAGTATTAACTAAACTAATATCTTTTAAATTAAGTGAATTAAATTATTTAATTTAAGTTAGGTATTTGTTTAAAAAATAGCAGGTATGTAATTCTAATATGTAATAAGTATATTAAATATGACTGATTAATTGCGAAATGAGTTTAATATCTTTAACGTAATAGAAATAAACCGCAAACTAATAAACAGTAGCGTGCATTCAACCCTACCACTGTCGGGATAAGCAAGAATGAGAATTTAATGAAATTTGAGAATTACAATGAATTATAATCTATAGATCGCTTTGTAGGAGGATTGTAGATGCAAAGTAAGATAATTTTCAGCACAGGAAAGTGCACAATACATATTTAAAAACCAGTGGCGTGCATTCAACCCCAGCCACCCCAGAACTGCTGGGGTAAGCAAGAATGATAATTTAATGCATTTTGAGAATTAAAATTAAGATGAACCGTATGTCATGTGATCAAAAATATAGCACCTACTGTATACTCTACTGCGATCTTTGCGTTGGCCCATTGCTCTACCCCAAGAGCGCTATAAGGGCCCTCTCGGCTTTGCCCCAGCTCAGATATCTTCGCTGGTAAAGACAGCTGCGCGTGTATCTACTTCACAGGGCCAAGGGCTGGCGCCGAAGTGGGGGAGGGGGGCGCAGCAGATAATGTACTGAACTCAGGTAGCTGGGGATGGATGACGTTTCTCCCCTCCCTGTGCTTCATGGCCAGGCTCTCACTGCCCTGCGATTTTAATTGCAGTAGCTCCCGCTAGTCAGCAGATGAGAGCAAACCAGGCACTTCACATTACAGCCAGTGTTGCTACAAAGCAAACTTATTTTAAATGGCATGTTTTGTTAGTATAAATTACCGTACCGTTTATCGAGAACCTTGGAACTTATAAAATTATTATAGAGCGCATATTTCTCTTTTGCTATAAAGAGAGTGGACACAAATGTTCAGTAGAGATTTTATTAATTAGGAGGAAGGTAGGTATGAAACGCGTGATCAAAAGCCTAAAATCCCCGAATTTTTAAGTAGCACAACTTACTCTTCTTAGAGAATCAATGTGCGAGGAAGGGCAGTGCGTGAAGTAGAGGTGATCCATTGTAGAGTTTGTGACGTATTGTTGTGTTTTCTCGTAATTTCATGAGGATTTGTAGTAACTACTCAGTGTAGTAAAACGTGCTTTGTGAAATCTAACGGGTATTAAGGTATAATTGTGTGTACTATGTCTTTCAGTGAGTGTATAATTGATGATATTTTGAGGAGACCATTTTCAACAAGACAGTTCCGCGAGAAGAAACAGGTTTTTGAAAACGGCAGGCCAACACCAGGCTTATCACAATTGCAGCAGATGAAAAAATTCACCAGATATTTCACTTGCTCTGCCTACGAAGAACATTGGTGGCTAGCAGGCAGTGAAAGACTGAACTCTTTTTTTTTTGGTCTTGTTTGCTCTTTGATCAAGAACGGAATACCTCATGGGCAAAATCGGGATATAAAAATTTGGGAAGTTTCACAAAAGCAGCAACTGCGCACGAACTGTCAGTTGAACACATTAGAGCTTCGATTTTTGGCGTCATTCGCGCATGCTTGCATTGGAACACAGTTGTACCAGCAACTTCAACCAGAAATAAGTCCACAATAAGAAACTGCAACAAAATCGTTATTATGATTATGCTTCTCAAAAGGTTTATAAATGCCATATGTTTCCTAAGTAAATAGGAATGGCTTTCAGGGGACATGACGAATCTAGATTGTCACTTAATCGTGGCATTTATGTGGAACTACTGCACTACTCAGAAGAAAATGGTTCTCCCCTGAGGACTCATTTGGAAACTCCTACAGTTTTCCTTGGGTTATCGAATCTGATACAAAACGATCTCATAGATTCCATATCTTATTCGCTGTTGCCAGACATTAAATCTGAAATAGCAAATGCTAACTTTGTCTCTGTGATGAAACAACAGATGTTTCCAACACTGCTCAATTCTCTCTTGTGTACCGAAATGTTTACGGTGGTGAAACAATAGAAAGGTTTATCGGATTTCGTGATGTAATTGCGAACAAAAGCGACGATTGCAGAGCTTATAAGAGAGTATTTTGCAGAATTTGATAGTAATAACAAACTTATAGCTCAGTCTTTACGACGGCGCAGCGTCCACGTCTGGAAATGTGAATGGCGTTCAAGCCGTTTTTAAACAATAGACTCCTCAGGCAATTTATATTCATTGCTACGCACATGTCTTGAATTTAGTACTTTCACGTAGTATTAATAACATCAGAGAATGTACATATTTTTAGTAATTTGAGAGTTATTACTGCCCTCTTCTTGCGGTCACCGGCACGAGCAAAATTCCTTGACAATTTTCTGCATAGACGGTTGCCATATGTTTGCCCAACTAGATGGAACTACCCAGAGCGACGTGTGAACACTATGTATGCACAAAGAAATGATCTTCAGAAAGCATTTATTACTATGCTGAATAAACAAGATTAGGTTGAATGTGATATATAGGCTCCTGTTAGTGGTTATTTGTCAATTTTGTCTGACTTTCTGTTTTGCTTTTGGTTGAGAACGTTTGATACAAATCTTTTCGTTCTCAGGAATATTGTACAACATTCTCCAAACAAAGGAGATATCCGTTACTGTAGACAAAATTCCAAAGAAACACGAAGAAATATATCTGATATGAGAAGCGGTTATGAAAGTGTACATTCTGAATTCATAAGAGAAGATGGAGAAAAATGTAAGATAGATGGCAGCTGACCAGAGGATGGGGCAATACCGTAAAGCCAGTCCACACCAAGGAAATTAGAAAACTTGACTACGAGAAAGTCTGTGCCATAGTGTAGCTCCACTAGTTTGTTAGTATAACACCGGCAAAAATGCCAACGTGCTACAGTTTACTAAGTTAACGCATGAAAACTACTGGAAATTGGAGGAAATTTGTATCTGTCAAAGTGCTAGACAGATAATATGTACTCGTAATATAAACATTTAATATAAATAAATAAAATGCTGACTCGTGGCTCAGAGCTATGTCTTCTACCAAGGAGGTCCGAGTTCGATTGACGCGAAAGTGAGTAACGAAGGGGTAGCGCTGGCGAACGGAGGTGTTGAAGGAACTTCGTACCTCATAATGACTTTCCTGCTCTCATTTCTTTTTGCGGTGTACACCTCGCAAGAAGTATTGTTGTACGTGATATAACTTGGTGAACTGGAATCCGGAGCAAGACGTACGAAAGAGATTTAGAAAGGACACACTAAGGTAAATATGAAATTTATTTAAGCAACAATTTGCGGAGAAGAAAACTTCAATATTGTGACGTGATACTGATAAGCACAATTGGTTTTGCATAGCTTTTTTTGTACCTGGGAGTTTGGAGCAAAACCAAATACGTTCCTGGGGCGAGTGAGGCGTTCTTCGTCCAGTCTGCTGGCGATTCAGAGACGTTGGGCAGCACGGAGAGGTTCCAGAGCGGGACGCCGTTTACTTCACGTTCACAGGTTGCTGCTTCCAATCTAATTAATTCATGAAGGAATTAGGAAAGAATTACATTCTTAAAAGCCATGTAGTTTCTAGATTTATATGAGTAGCTATTGATTTACTAGTCTTGAGAGAAAACCGTTACAAAACACACTACATTTTAGCGTCTACATCTCTCTGGTTTATAGCGCTTTTTTATGAAAAACTTCCCAAAATTGCAAAGGTAACGATAATTCTTAACAATAGCAATACATTTGTAAATTCTTGCAGAAAGAGGAATTTAATTCAGTTTTTTGGATGATGTAATTTTGCAACAAGTTAACAATTCTAATAAATTTGGAAGACTGATTGTTGTAATTAAAGGAAATTGCTCATTAATTATCCTATTATTGTGCTGTATAGGATTTGCAGAGTTTGTGTGTTATTTCAGGGTTTATTGCATTTGTGTTTCTTGCAGTTTTTAATGTGTGTTGCGATTTTAAGAACATTTTGAATTTGTTCTATTTCCAGTTATTGGAGTACATCCCACTTAATCCTGAGACCCCCAATAGTGGAGAAATTAGAGAGTAACTGTTATAAAGTAACCAAATGAGGCAGATTCATTGAAAATTGTGTTTATCCAATTTTTTTTTTACTATCACCTGCACTCAATCAACCCACGGGCCAGCCGGGGCCTATTTGTTTCTCTAAAATGTAAAAGAGATGGTGGCGGTAGCAATAATTATCTTTAAGAGAAATTATATATTATATTGTTATACTGTTTTAGAGGAGTTATGAAGAAAAGAGTTCAAAATTGGAAAAAGTGCAAAAGTGCAATAAAAGTACTTCTAAGAGAGTACTTGTACTTTTTGGAACGAACATCTAATAATCCTAAGAGGGGCTAATATGAAAAAAGCAAACCTATAAAATCGACTCATTATAATGATTTTTATTTAAATTATTGATTTCACTAGAAATACTGTGTTGAATATTTCAGTAACAAAATAAGTAGATAATAATTTGAAGCTGTTTTGGAAAGGATTGGACTCCCATTCTTATTTCGTATCAAATAAAATAGTGTAGTACTTATCCCTACAAAGAATTTAACCATCGTCATTATGAAGGAAAGTACACATACTGAGGTTCAATAAAAAGCATTTTATTTTCCTGGAAATTTTACATTTTCTGTTGTAGAAATTCAAGGAAGAAACTTTTCATAAATACATAATGTGATAAAAGTAAAAGTTGAAGAATATCTTTTATGTTTATTTTATATATCAATCACATCTAAACAGCACTAAACAGCATATCATACTAAACAACCACTTCTGCTCATCTTTAAATAAACAAAACAGACAACAAATTGGATAGAAACAACAGCTTTGTCTTCCACTTGATATGAAAGATATTTGTAATAACAGGGCAGTGAAATACTTTGCTAGCAATAAATGATATTTGTATAGAGTACATACAAGTCATGCATATGCAGCAACACGTTACAAAACTGGAAGTCATACTTATAAAAACAATTAAGATTATTATAGCATACTAAACTGGCCAAAACATGGGGACATTAGAATTAAGAAGTTTCTTTTGTATTTTCTGTTGATCAGCATTGACCAGTCAAAGAGCTTTCATTTTGTACTGATGAATACTGTTAGTTATCTCATTTGTAAACAATGTCATGAATATTTCTCCCACAGAACACATACAAATACAGTGCAACTTGCATAGTTTGAACTTTTGAGTACATTTGTTTGGATTTAAGGTTTTGAACTACTATAATATTAAAAAAAAATATATTACTGACCAGCAAAAGGCTGGAATGCAATAAATAATTAATGTATTTTAACTCAATGTTATTAACTCGCATGTAAGGTCTTAATTGGTTAAAGTATCTTATCTGAAGAAATTTAAAAACCAGAAAATTTTCTCATTTATTATTTGACACTGGGGGGGGGAATTACTTAGTATTCTAGAATCTCTTAGCTTCAAGGATGAAATAACTTGAGAAAACAGTAGAATAAATTATTAGACTATCCTCACTGAAACCAAGAACAATGTAATATTCTAATAATAAATTAATACAAGGAAATAACTATTCTAAAAAGAGGAATTACTAAAGTGAGTTTGCTGAAAAAAAAAAAAACTGCCATCACCAAATCACCATTCATTAAATTTAGATTATTGGTTAGTTCTTTTAAAAATGGGCAATTGTATGGATGAGGAAACCTATGCTTCCTAAAAAATTCAACATCACTATCAACAAGTTCATAAAAAATCTTCAGTAAAAGTTAATCCACAGCAATCACAAATAAAGATATCTCCTACTCATATTTCAAGTAATGCAAGCAAAGACTGGATTCTTTTTCAGGACAGCAGACAATACCAAAATGAAAAAAACAGTAGGTTTCCAGTTCTACAAATATGGATAAGACTAAGAAATTCTTAACAAATTGTGCATACCAAATAAGATACTTTGCTAATACAAAAATCAGGTAATAAATTACAAGAAACAAATGTTATTTTTGCAATTTGGAAATCAAAAGATCCTGACACACTGGTCTTTAGTTCAAATTATGAAGTTTGCACTGATTCTTGCAAAGTACAACTTAATGACAATCCTTCATTCCATCCTAGCACTATATGGTATAAATCTTCCTCATTTTGCATTTCATGAACACTACACAGAATTAATATTAATACTTCTGTAAAAAAAACCTGGTATTTAAATATTTGAATATCTATGTCGCAAGGAAGTTATGCTGTAAAATTGATATGAATATGACAAACATTCCATGAATACATACGGATGCATACCACAAGTATTTGGGGATTGTTCCTGCTTTCCAAAATTACATTGACATTAAACATTATTGTGAAACTAATTATTACAACCTATAAGGTCATGTGTTAGTCTGGAAAACTTTGGAAGAAAAATTCATGGAAATTAAATTATGGAAGGCATAATTGTATTTGCCGCTCAATCTGAAGCAATAACACTACAATTCTCCCCATGTATCTCAAATAATTTGTGCACCATGCCAATGTGCATAGTAGGAAATGCAACAGAAATATAAATATTCAAGATAAATTAAAGATGCAAATTTCATATAATCACATATAAATATGTTGATACCTCATTGCACATCATATTACAATTTATTTTGAAAAATTATATATTATGCAAAATAACAATGCACTTACTGATTCAAATCTCACAATTTTTGCCACTTTTATAAACCTGTATGGCAATAACAAACAAGCAAAATTATCTGGATAATTTAAACACTTAATATATTACTATGCCATATTTTCTACACATAAAATTGCTGACCTGTGCATAAAAATGCTCAAACAACATGGTCGTTATAATGGCACTTGGCAGTAAAGTTTTCAGGTCATACAATATCATTAACAGCAAAAAAAGATAGAACCTTTCTTGGTAAACCAAAGTCGAATGAGAACAGATAAAACAATCAACACATTTTGTTGCTGATTTATTCACAAATAAATTAAAACTCAAGTGGAAACATTATATAAACTTAAATGTTTCCCTCTTCTTCACATTTAAAAGCTGAAGCTAAAGTGCGAAACATACATGAGGTTCCATGTGTTGGTTCTTTTGATACCATTTGATTTCTTACCAAAAGCCACCAGATGACTGTCCACCTGGAGGATTCTTAACACGGATACATGACTTCCGAGCACTGTCATCCAGTTCCGCTGAGAAGGAAAATAAATATTAGTATTGTCAATGCAAAAATACACATTATTAACATCTACATATTTTTATCTGTACACATATTCGCTCATCTGTTCTCCTATAAATTTACTTTCTTCCATTCACTCTTTCCCACAATCTTTCTCTCCTACGTCATGCTCTCTCTCTGATCATTCACAAGTTATCCAATTTTTATGGACCTTATCTGCCAGAGAAATATCTAATGTATTCCCAAAGAAACCTAATCCCACAGTGCTAATTGACTTTAATCAAATTTCCATTCTGTATTCACATTATAATTTTGAAATTGTCTTTAAGCAATCGAGTGATTACTGAAATAAAAACAAGTTATAACATCTCTTGCAGTGCATTTTTTATGGGTCACTACATACAAATGGGTACATATGGTGGATGATATGCTATAACTTATCATAAAATTTGGTTCTATTTGACATAAGCAAGCTCTTTGGCTTCGTCAAAAATGACTTTTCAGTAAAGACAAGATTATCTTGTGTGTCAAATTTGGGCTGTCAGAGATGGAAGTACTGCATGTGTTTTTGGACTGATGTTTTTCAGTTCTGAGACTATTACTCTTCTCTATGTTTGTTAAATATGTGTCTCACATGCTGGTTCTCTTTAAGTTCATCCAGAAAGCTGCTATTCTGCAAATGTGTTTACACCAATCACTTGATGAAATCCACGCGATTTTCTGCAGACTTAACTAAGATAATCAGGGAATCCTTAGAGAAGCCTTTCACAATTAACTTTGGAATAAAAGGTCACAACTCAATCTTTATTATTTTGCTTATCACGCTTACACATACACACACACTCTCTCTCTCACACACACACGCACACACACATGCACACACACACACAAACAAACTGCACAAGTAGAGTGAATTCGTAGTAGTATAGAATAGTAGAATATTTTTGGATAATCATTGAAATGAATAAAATCATAACACAGCATGAGCTGAGTGTAGTCTGCAACATTTTACAAAATCAGTAATTTAACACATTTGTTAAAAACATTTTTAATTTCCCCTCCCAAAATTTGTCTCTGGATCCACCCCTGGCAGTAATGATACAATGTTATCTTACTGTATTGATTTTTACACAAGAATCTACTCCATCCTTTAACGAAGAGCTCCAGAACACCTATCAAAATTATTTTGTTGTTTTACCAATTTCTATACCTTCTTGATTATATCTACCAATTAGAAATATTAATATTTCAAATAAAATATTTAATATTTAACGATTAAAATAGGCAAAGCAAAATAATTATCTCATATGTGAGATCAGTTTAAAACGAAAAGAAAGGGCTACATTTTTGGGTCCCCCTTTTCCATTAATTTTCATTTTCTCGCCTTCTGTGGTCTAATTTGTACTTACTACTAATAGAAAATGTAGAATCTTGCAGATTTCGCTGTCCCTTGCTTGAAGGGCAACTTAGAGAAGGCTCAGTCTCTACAGCAGTCACAGGAGTTTCTGCTGCTGGAATCGATCTAGTTTCAACATTGCCATTTTGCTCAACCTTCTTCACTACTTCAGCAGCAGCTACAGCAGCAGCTGCAGCGCCATCTGCAATTGCCTTCTCTTGATCTTTCTTATCCTGAACAAAAATGAAAATATATTGATTACAGAAGTCAAAATAATTCTCAATTTAATACAGATAAGATTATTAAAAATACTGAGAGTGAAAACTATTTCTTAACAAACCTCTTCTCTTGACTTGACTTGCTCAAACACATAAGGAGAAAACGGAGGAGTTGGAATGAATCTTCCATAGCCTTGGACTGCTTTCAAAGCACCCTCATCAACACACACTCTACCATTCACAATTACATATTCTGGAACACCATGACAAACCATACCCTAAAGGAGGAAGAAAAGAAAAACAGCAATCAAAAATAAATATTGTTAACACACAGATTATGAAAAGGAAGATTTCACAGCCCTTAGCATCATAGATTAAATAGAAAATTTATATTATTTTCTTCTTTGAATTTAAACAAGAATAAATACATATTAACATTCAGGAAAATAAATCACTTTTACAGTAATATATACTCACTTCAAAGATATTGAAATCATTGCCCTGGTGATGAGTTTTAGCTGATATAGTTCGAGTTTGGTTGGGATCCCAAATAACGATATCTGCATCTGATCCCACTGCAATACAACCCTAAAAAATGCATTTAAACTCATAATTCATAATTAAACTGCAGGAATTAAAAATTGAGATAAAAATCATTCTAGACAAAGTGTGATCCTTGTTCAATAAATTAAGGATTCTTCCTCTACCATTTTGAAATAGTGGTCTTCACAAAGAAGATTCTATTGGAAAACAAAGACACTAACTCAAAATTCTGATGTACACAACACTCATCAAAATGATAACGTAGATATTCCCCACTCTGAAACTACACTTCATCAAAAAAGTACCCTAACAGAGGGTATTACACTTTACAACAAAATAGGCAATGATATTAAAGACAAACAATTCATAATTTAAAAGTAAATTGAAAGCTTTCCTGCTTAACATGTTCCACAGTGTGAAGAAATATTCAAATCACAACAATATTCCCTTAAAAAAAAATCTTAATCCATTGACGTTCTGTTTCATATTGACTGCTTCGAGCTGAAGCAAAGAACAAAGAACCTATTACGTCTTGTGACATAGAAGGAGAAAGCTTAACAACAATTTGTTTATCTCTGGATTTGCTAGATGCATTAGGTGCTGCAGTATGTCTAGGTGTACAAATAGAAGGGTGAAAAAAAATAAGTGAAAACCTGCCTCCTCTCCTCACCATTTCAAGTTTTAAACATCGAATGTACTAATATTGTTAACATTTATGTAGTTGCTACCAGAATTGGTTTGTGTATTGTTTTAATGTTATGGTCGTCGTCGTCGCCATTGTTATCGTCGTCATCGTCGTCGTCGTCGCCATTGTTATCGTCGTCATCGTCGTTCGTCATTGTTACCGTCCGTCGTCGTCAATGTTACCGTCGTCGTCGTCGTCATTTGTTAACCGGTCGTCGTGCGTCATTGTTACCGGTCGTGCGGTCGTCATTGTTACCGTCGTTCGTCGTCATTGTTACCGTCGTCGTCGTCATTGTCGTCGTCATTGTCGTCGTCGTCGTCGTCATCGTCGTCGTCGTCGTCATTGTCGTCGTCGTCGTCATTGTCGTTCATTGTCGTCGTATTGTCGTCATTGTCCGTCGTCGTCGTCGTCCGTCATTGTCGTCGTCCGTCGTCATTGTCGTCGTCGTCGTCCATTGTCCGTCGTCGTCGTCGTCATTTGTCGTCGTCGTCGTCATTGTCCGTCGTCGTCGTCGTCATTGTCGTCGTCATAGTCATTGTCGTCGTCGTCGTCATTGTCATTGTCGTCATTGTCATTGTCATTGTCGTCGTCATTGTCATTGTCGTCGTCGTCATTGTCGTCGTCAATTGTCATTGTCATTTGTCGTCGTCATTGTCATTGTCATGTCGCGTCGTCATTGTCATTGTCGTCGTCGTCGTCATTGTCGTCGTCGTCATTGTCGTCGTCGTCATTGTCGTCGTCGTCGTCATTGGTCCGTTCGTCGTCGTCATTGTCGTCGTCGTCGTCATTGTCGTCGTTCGTGCGTCATCTGTCGTCGTCGTCGTCATTGTCGTCCGTCGTCGTCATTGTCGTCGTGCGTGCCGTCATTGTCGTCGTCGTCGTCATTTGTCGTGCGTCGTCGTCATTGTGCGTCGTCGTCGTCAATTGTCGTCGTCCGTCGTACATTGTCGTCGTCGTCGTCATTGTCGTCGTCGTCCGTTGTCGTCGTCGTCGTCATTTGTCGTCGTCGTCGTCATTGTCGTCGTCGTCGTCATTGTCGTTCGTCGTCGTCATTGTCGTCGTCGTTGTCGTCGTCGTCGTCATTGTCCGTCGTCGTCGTCATTGTCCGTCATCGTCGTCGTCATTGTCGTATCGCGCGACGTCGTCGTCATCGTCGAGTCATTGTCGACGTCGTCGTCATTGTCGACGGTCGTCGTCATTGTCGTTCATCGTCGACGAAGTCGTCATTGTCGAACAATCGTCGACGTCGTCATTGTTGACATGCGTCGACGTCGTATTGTCGACACTCGATCGACGTCCGTCATTGTCGACATCGTCGACGTCGTCATTGTCGTATCGTCGACGTCGTCGGTCGTCATTGTCGTCATGGTCGACGTCGTCGTCGGTCATTGTCGTCATCGTCGACGTCGTCGTCGTCATTGTCGTGCATCGTCGACGTCGTCGTCGTCCATTGTCGTCGTGTCATTGTCGTCATCGTCGACGTCGTCGTCGTCATTGTCGTCAATCGTCATTGGTCGTCGTCATTGTCGTCATCATTGTTATTATCATCATTGTCATTGTTATTATCATCATTGTCATTGTTATTATCATCATTGTCATTATTATTATCATCATTGTCATTATTATTATTATTATTATTATTATTATTATTATTATTATTAAAATTATTATTATAAGTAGTAGTAGCAGTACTTATGTTACTTACTGTTACTTTAAACATGAAACTGTAAAAATCTTTCAAAATTAAATTATAATATCCTAATCTATCTGTAGCAAGTATTGTAATATAATTCCTAGGCCAATGACCCCATCTTGATCAGGTTTTTGTTCAGTTTCTCTGGTCCCTTGAGCAAATGCTGAGATGGCTCCTTGTTTCGCCCCAGAACAGTAATGTAACAATACTCTCTCCACCCAAGACATCATATTGACTCGTCATACACAATTGTAATTATATAAGTGAACCAATAAATATTATTATAATTAATTATTTTTATTGTATTATATTATTATTAATTATGATTATTATTATTATTTGTATAAATGTGACATGTTTTCACGATGTACAATACACAGGTAAGTCATTGTGTAATAATGAAAAAACTGAACCTAGTACCTATTTTAGTCGTCGTGACTGATATTGCCGCCGTCTTGTTTAATTTTTTTAAAAAATATGAGTAGTTTAGGCGTAATTTTGAGAGAAATTGGGAAAATTAAAAAAATAGTGAATAAAATTTTCTCGAAAGCTATTCTTAAGTTTTTGTTTTAGTTTAATTTCGAAAACTGCAAATGTCAATTTTTTCGTCGGATCTTTTATCAGTCGGCAACCCGAGGCGTATGGTGGTGCACCTGATGCACGGCACCGAGGCCCTTGAAGTCGAGCCCCGAACGAATGCTCCCAACGAAGATGGCAATGGTAATGAGGAGCCACATTTGAATTAACTGTACCGGGGCCTCTGAGAACGTAGCAATGCATTTGCCGCCACCATCTATATTTAAGCTAGATATTTGTTACAAAGCAATCTATCCTTCGATACTGCTGCACGCACACTGCTCAATAAAAAATAAAATATTCAGAAAAAAGGTGTCTAGATATCAATATTATTCAATAGTTTATGATCTATCTTAACGAAAATGTCATGAAACACCTCTCACATAGCAGGAGACTTCATAGTGTTCTCTCAATTTCTGCGCACATTGGATATTAGTTATATTGATGATGATGATGATAATGATAATAATGATAATAATAACAACAATAATACGTATGCGAAGAACCCAATGAAATGAACAATAATACATGGTTATTAAAAAAGAATAAACCTATTTCAAGATCCTGTTTCTCTGTTCTCAACTAACTTCTCGAAACTAGTCACATGCAATTCAAGAGAGCGAGTTTCTACGTTTTGAATAGTCGCCAGTAGAGCGCTGTAAATAAGGCCAGACCAATGCAACTTGTTTCCCAGTTTGCGTTGGCAAGACAAACTGCTATACCTCTACAATACAACTAAAAAAATGTAGTTGGTCTTGGATGGGGCACATTTCTCATCTATCATGTCCAGAAACTCTTCATAATTCCATCCTCTACGATTTGTCATCACGTGTAATCATCTGATCTAGCTATCTGCTATCTTCATGGAATCTGCACGGTTTAGACATCTTTGCAACACACGACAGATAATGAGCTGAGTTAACTGAAGCTATTTGACTACCTCAAGTTGATTTCCAATGTTTACGCTGAAACACCTCCAGGATTCTCTCGATTTCGTAAAATACTCGCAGACATACAGAACTTTTTCTTTTGAATAAACATTCTGTTCCGAAATTGACAAAACGTCATCGAATGTTATTGGGAGAAAGGTTATTTTAGTTAAATTTCCTTCGAAAAGCCTGCTGCCGTATGACAACAATATTTGCTAACTGGAGAACACAAGACTCCTGCTGAAGGTTCGCCATTCTGAGCTGAATCAAGCAAAAGCAACTGACCTGAAAGAGGGAATTTCTATCCACGGCGTGGCATCCAGAGCACTCAAAACTATTCAAAACTTAGAAACTCGCTCGTTTGAATGACAATTGACTCGTTTTAATAAGTTGCTACAATTGAGAAATAAGGCTTACAAATCGCTTCCTTCTTTTCGATTAACTGTACTACTGGTAAATATATTTCCGGATTATGTATTGTGTAACAACAAATGTACAAAAAACTAAAAAATGTTTATTCTCACCTTTCTTGGATAAATATTAAATATTTTGGCAGCATTAGCACTGGTGACAGCAACAAACCTAGTTGGGTCCATTTTGCCAGAATGAACACCTTTTTCCCAAACAACTGACATTCTATCTTCAACACCATTAACTCCATTTGGAATTTTTGTGAAATCATCCTTCCCCAACAATTTATCCTTTGAACTGAAAGTTGCATTGTCACTTCCCGTAACTTGAAGGCCATCACTGCAATATTAAAAAAACAGTTCTAAAATCATACAAAATATAAAATAAACTATGCATTTGTAAATAAAGTCAACTTCAACAAAAAATTCATTACAGCAGAACAAAGAAAACCAGCAATAACATATAACATGAATTATTAACAGTTTATGTTACACCTAAGAGTAACTCATCTTTGCATATCTCACTAAAGTGTTCAAAGATTAGTTTTAGGAACATTTACATCAATGATTAGATTTAGATTGCAGAAAAAAATTCGAATAATAAGGAAATGCCATTCCCGTGAATCCTGCAAGCCTCTCTTCATTGAGCTAGGAATCATACCATTGCCTCGCCTATTTACACTATGTGATCAAAAGTATCCGAACACGTCCACAATGATGTTATGGTGTGGTCGTGTTTTTCATGGTGGGGGCTTGCACCCCTTGTTTTTGTGAGGCACTATCACGCCACAGCCCTAAGTTGATGATTTAAACACCTCCTTGCTTTCCACTGTTGAAGAGAGATTCGGGGATGGCGATTGCATCTTTCAACACAATCGAGCACCTGTTCATACTGCACGGCCTTAGGCGGAGTGGTTACACGACAATGACATCCCTTTAATGGACTGTCCTGCACAGAGTCCTGACTTGAATCCCATCGAACACCTTTGGGATGTTTCGGAACGCCGACTTCGAGCCAGGCCTCACCGACTTACATACGATACCTCTTCTCAGTTGAGCACTCCGTGAAGAATGGGCTGCCATTTCCCAAGAAACCATCTAGCACCTGATTGAAAGTATCCCTACGAGAGTAGGTGTCATCAAGGCTGGTCCAACGCCCTATTGAATTCCAGCATTACCGAGAGAGGGCGCCACGAATGGTAAGTCATTTTCAGACACGTGTCCGGATACTTTTGATCACATAATATATTTAAGAATCTGTAGTTTTTGCCAATACTGACTTACTAAACGGCGGGAATAATATTGGCATGTAATACAGATATTTATAATTACAACACACGTCGTAGAAATCACATTCATCAGGCGTCAGTATTAAGAAGTTACAAGAAATACACATATAATACATGTACGTTACGTTACACCTAGTGTCCGCCAGAGCGGGCACTTCAAAAAAACCGCGCCGGCGGCGCCTCAGGCCATATGGTAGACAGTACCACCCCGAGAGTGAAGCAGAAACTAGCCCCGTCGACACGTTTGAGCGACAAAGAAAAAACCCCTTCAGCGGGAGGGGGGGATAGAGCAGCCTCCCCTCCCCGACGGAGGGGGCCTCCGTTCAATGAGCCATCCAGCGCCGACTCCCTCGTAAACAGACTTTGTAGCAGTGATCTTGGTAGTGGTAAATTGTATTGTATGTTAATGTGCTTGGACTTTGGACGATCTTTTAACTCAATTAATTTTTATACGACTTGACATAATTAATTCTCACCCGGCAACTGTGGCCATTGGCGAAGTTGAAAGGCATTCTAAGTTTTTTGGATGAAATAGAATTGCTGTTTTCAAACGGAGTAGGTACCCAGTGTTTCGTTTAGAGTACAACACATTGTAAAATAACATTAAACAATTAAAAAACAAATATAAGATAAAAGTAAAATCGTTGATGCTACACAATTGTTGCAACTGTAAAGCATAAATGAAACCCGGGCTATGTGCCAAAATGTGAAACTTTGCATTTTGTGCTGAAAAGCGTGGTAAATGTCAACCGCAATGTAGTGTAGAATGGGCTATCTGAAATTCTTATTCTCACGATTTTCAGTTGTCGCCACTAAACTGTACATCAAGTCCCACGATGTTTTTAAAAGCAGTTTTTCTTAATTATCTCTGAATTCCATTTCTGGCACTTACCACGGTTTTTATTTACTATCTACAATTAGAGACTGTACTGAACATCAAAAAGGAAAATTACATTTATTTTAACAATGATATACAATGCATTAGTTTGCATTTGTATAATATAATTTTCAATGAGACTCAATAAAACTATATCAAGTAATGTACTTCAGTGTGCAGGTCAGTGACCCTCATCTCGATCAGTTTTTTGTCGAGTTTCCCTGATCCACTGAGCGAATGCTGATATAGCTTTTTTTCTTTTTTGTACACAAATGTAGCTTCACTATGTGCAGGTTTTGTTGAGATCTCCTTTTGCTAGGAGTAGGGTAGGAGTGGAGCCGTGAGGGGCGTTTCTATTTTGTTAGCAATACAAATCATAATCCGCAGGTCGTTTATTGATGCAATTAAGTTTTCGGTTACTTGAAGCGAAAATATCTAGTTTGCAAAAAGTCGATAACTTCCTTTTTAAACTTTTATTCATCATTCAACTATTTATAGTTAAAATGTTGGGAAGAGATTCTGGAGCACAAAAAAAAAGGGCGCAGGTGATACTTCTCCCCCATATGTAACGTACAGTTCTTACTGTTCTTTGAATAAATAAATCAAAACAGGAATAGGGAAAGCAACAAACAATATCTGCTGAGGACATGACTCACTTGATAAAAATGCTTCTAGAAAAATATCATACATGATAATCATGCTATTTGATGGAACTTCATTCATTTATCTAAAAACAATGAAACAAAATTAACCAAGATAAATGTCATCCACACAATTCATGTTTTTTCATCCATAAAATTGTACTTCTTTAATACAATAATACTTCTTTCAAAATTGTATTAGCAATCTAAACAATTATAGACTTTCGTTACACCTCTCAATTTTAAAAGCAAGCAAGATAAAAATGCAAATCCACAGATCCCCCCCCCCACACACACACACACATACATACATTTCAAGTTTAAGCCCGGGGCGGACGCTGTAGGCTCCCCGAAGAATCCATAAAAACGCAAAGGAAAAGGAAGCTCGAATATAAGAACAAAGGATGGGAAGAGTAGTACGAAAGGTGGTCAATTGCCGCATATTCTTTCTCGTCGTACGAAGTTGTGGTCCAAGACAATACCTTGCCTCAAGAACGCGCTTGAAGAAGCGACTCTAAATTCTCGAAGCCAGTAACCCGTACTGCCTTATACTGCTAGGAATTTTCCTTATATGTGCTATCGTTTGGGATGTGACTTCCTGGATATCAGCAGTCTGTGCTGTATTGTGTTGGCTTGGTCTTCGCTGAACTCCATTAATACGAGCCTCGTCGTGTGGGTCATATTTGACCTATGTCCAGGCACAAGGGTTGGAGATATGCAATACTGCGTTACAAATTCATCGAATTTACGGCACAGCTGTTTTCCCAACTATAGGGTGGCGCACGAAATGTGCCACCACCTTTTCTTACATAATTTATGAGTCGCACTAGATATCCCGTTGATCACCTCAACAGTAGTAGCAGTAGAGCTTGCATAAACAAATACGTTACAAAATAACTCGTAATTCACGATATCGCCGCTAGGAGACTAGTTTATATAACAATGATCGACAAAGAATGACTGACAACGCAGCAGCAGGAGATGAATCTCCATTTTGTTGTTAAACATTTATTATTAATAAAAAACTAAAACAATTTAATACAACTCAAACACACTGAAGAATTCATCTAACGCAGCACACGCTCAAAATGTCCACCATTTCGATTCAGAACTTCCTGCAAACTAGCACTGACGTTAGCAATAACCCTCCGTCACAAGTCGCTTGAACAATAATTCTTCTGAGCTCCATTTACCCTTGTGGGCATTTTGGGATATTTTCCCCTTTAGATACCTCCAGATCTCAATCCGTGTGACGTCTTTCTTTGGAATATTGGGAGGGCCAAAATTGTCCGTCTTTGAAACGATCTGGAAACCTGAGCGAAATGATCCACATGTCGATACGCTCGTGTAGGAACTAGTGGCTCAGAGGCTAAGTCGCTTGCCTTTCACCACTGAGGTCTGGGCTCGATTTCCGTAGAATCCCCGTAAAACCTCATGTGAAATTTGTTACAACAAAACAAGTTTGCATGCTTCACGGCGGATAGACCAACCCTTGTGAAGTGTCCTAAACCCTACCTCTATCCTAATTCCTTCATAATTCTAGCCGCTGGGTAGTGACGCAGGAGCCAGAGGAGGAGCAGGATTAGGAGTAGGTGATGATACCTGGCGGTCCTCTTGACAACTGACTGCGACGAGACGTGACGTGACATTAAATGACAGATAATGTTAATGGATTGCTTCTATTAATAGTGCGATTATTCATGGAGGATTACTCCCAAGCGCAAAGCGCTCAACGCCCCCCGGGGCTTGGAGACGCGTTGCGTCAATTCAGACATAACAAATTAAAAAAATAATTGCCTTATAATTTCCAAATTAATTGTACGGTCAATGGATCGTTCTCTGACAAGGAGACTGTCGTGTCAACAAAACATCTGTCCTCCTGTCTGCCAACAACGCTAGAGGTTCAGTCGATTTTCTCCAAAATTTATATTCCCCAATCGATTTGACTGATGCCGCGGTCCCTTGAATTTGAAACCGCAATTTTAATTTGAAGGCACTGAACATGAAGCCCCTGGGACATTTAATTAATGTTTGCAAATCGATTTTGTCGGTCATGTCCCTTAAACATGTAAAATCGTAATATCGGTGAGCCAATTTCGCAACATAGTTGATCGCATATATGTTTTGAGTCGAAGCCGACGAATATAGAGAAACTTCGTTAATTTCAGGAATTTGATGTTTATGGAATATTTCTGTCACCCCAAATTCAAATAGGGGTTTTACCCACTGGGAATTTTTCGTGAGGGTATAGTTCCCCATCATACCTACATAATACGCTGGATCTGACTACTACTGCTATTGCTGTTGAAATGCTCAACGGGATATCGAGTGCGACTCAAATTATGTAAGATATAAATGGTGATACCTTTCGCGCGCCGCCCTATACTTTTTCCTTGTCTGCCCGTGAATAAGATAATCCTGTCGCAAACGCGCTCTCTGAACTTTGCGTAGACAGTCCTCCCTCCACCTCCCATTTCCCTTCCTTGGTAAGCGAGAGTAACTCGTTATCACCGGCGAGATTTGAAAGAAACAGATATGATCGCACGATGGCCCATCACAGAAAATCGCGGCTGTCACTCCCCTCTCTGTGGGGGTATAGAGAATTTGTTATAAAAATGAGTCAAAGTGACAGTTCGCTAAGCAAGTGAATAACACATGTAATTCAGAGAAGTATCCCTTCGCCGCAACAGCTGTTCAGCCATGCCCCTTCGTAGTGTTTACGGCTCCCGTGAAGACATCCCTATACAGAAATTAAGAGTTTCGCTGAGGTATATGCACGTACGCGAATCCGGGAAATATTGAAATGTAATTACGTACGTGAAAAACTGAACATAATCTCATATTCAGTAAAAACTGCCACGAAGGTAAATAGAAAGAAAATGATTTTTCAGGGTCCGTTTAAATACCTTTTCTGGTCGTTTCATGGCGAATGGCTCATGCATTTTTGTAGTGAGGAGGATAGTTCATTTACAATTATAACACTCCGACTATCGATATTTAATACTATGCTCTCATAACTCAAATGAGACTTAATAATTGTTTAATGTCACTAATGTTCTGCGTGTTAATGCATTTCTTAATCGTGAAGAAGGAGGATGCCCTTTGCGCCCATTCTGGCTTTTCATGGTTCACAACCGTGTCACAATTATATAAAAATTCTATATAAAAAGTCAAGCACGAAACCACGAAACGCTCTCGGACAGAGCTCTCCACCTTACAACACAGGAGGCGGAAACACGTGCACCGTTACCAATACGCATCGCACATTCAAGACTCGGTTTTAAAATAAACATAATACTTATCACACAAAAACTAAAATTCAATGTAATGTTTCTAAAAAAATATTTTTTGCAGAAGAGCACATAGCACTGCACTTCCTAATTTCAATTATTTCTTGTGGCGCACTACATTTTCGTCGGACGAGGACATCACAAAAGAAAGCGTCGAAGCCCTTTACAAGTTAGCCAACTGCAAACGAGCGAATAAGGGAAGGAGAGTCTATTAGGCTCAAGGACACAACGACCGCAAAATTTCCAGTTGTGTTGCCAGCACTAGCTGTCAAAACGTCCCATTCTTATAAAAATTGCTCTAAAAAGTGGGCGAAGTGATGCTACAATTTGAAAATGTTGCGGCTTCATGTAAAGTAATCATATCTCTTTCAACATCAGGGGGCCTGGATTTAATTTGAATCGATCGAATAATATTACTTTTGGAGAAAATATAGCCGGCAAAGGTGGCTCAAGACATCAACTGATAACATTGCATTGCCTCTGAGCGGCAAGGGTTCGAATCCCGGCAGTGGCAGGATTTCCAACGCCAGCTAGATTGCTGGGTCGAGTCCAGTCGTTTCTGACTAAAGGAGAATACTAGCGGCTGACTGCTCTGATCGGTATTTTTCGTATGTTTTTCCTTTTCCGATCAGCACAGCACCTGAGCAGTGCGGTAACAAACGGGCCAGGGAGCGGGCGCGATCTTTCCTTCCCGTTTCTTGCACTATTCTCACCCCTTATACACACACGCACGCGCGCGCGCACGCACACACTTCAGTACCAAAAAAGTACTCGAGGCCCTGTAAGTTTGAAAGGTATATTTTAACTTCTGGTGGTACTTTACATAAAACACTTCGACATTTACAAAATTTTCTCGAAAATGGCTCCAAATTTTTGGACTAAACTTTGTCGTCGGATAGTGTAAAGAACTCTTAAAATGGCGTGGGTAAAATTTTCGTTGACCACCCCGATTTTTCGAAAATTGCAAAATTTGTCCATTTTTTAGGCTTCTCCCTACAACTTGAACATTTATTACAAAGAATTTTCCATTAATAAAATAAGTTGTTTAAAGACAGATCTTGTAATAACGTCATGTATAATTTTTCGAAAATATGAGTAGAGTTCGCGTGATTCGACGTTAAATATAGGCAATCTTTAAACCATTATATTCCTTAAATTTTTTCCTACGTGCCAAAGTATGTAACAAAGAACGGTAAAAAATTCGTGCTGGCTCCATTTTCAAAGCACACTACTTACAACAATTGCACAAAATTAACATTGCAAATGTACAATACAGCATTTTCTCAGAAACTGTTCCAAATTTTTACTTTAATTCCCCCCTCCCCCACCTTAAAAATGGCGCAGGTCTCAATTTAACCATCTGAATTTTCGAAAATTGGAAGTGAGAAAAATGCGAGAAAGTATGAGGTGTAGTAGTACGGGTAGTTTACGTACCTTCGACTGTGTCCTGAATACAGCTCCAACATTTCCTCTTTACGTGCTAATTTCTACCAACGCCCCATACACTTGGGTTCACCATCAACACATGAAATCCCCCCTTCCATGATCTTTCCATATTAAGTATTTGCAATACAAAGCTGAATATTGTAATTCGATGTAATTCTTGCAACAAACAGTGATACTGCCTGAAGTTCAACACTCGATCAGACGATAGACTTGACTTTTCCATTTGTGACAGAAAACACCCAAAACGTTCAAACTGAAGAACAGTGTTTGTATTTACGTCAATTGTAACGTGTTGGATTTAACAGGTTTAATGATTAGTAGCAAAGACTACTTTACAGGGTTGTGGTAGCACCCATCCCAATACTTACTTGACTAAATTGTCACAATTATGTAAAACATTAAATCTCAAATTAATTTTAAATGTTACAAACAATTGAAAACATTTGTATTTCCTAGTTAGCATTGTAACTAGGCAGTCATCTATAAACAGAATTATATAGTAAATAATAAAACTATAGGTTCACTTCCGTTCTACGAAATTATCGCGACTCCAGCAGATCCAGGGGGGGGGCATGGGAGCCATGCCCCCTCCCAAATGGTCTAGTTTTCATATACCTTCCTGTATTTGGCTAAATTTATTTAAATATTTATGTTCGAATTATGTAATTATTTAAATAATAATAGTGTATAGTAACATATTTACAGTACATAAATATATATAATGTAATGACAAATATGTTTATTATTTAACAAAAATCGACCTTCCCCCCTCCCATCCATAATCGGCTGGATCCGTCCCTGGACCCTAGGCGTGAGACAGTTTAATTCATTTGAAGTTTTGCACACGAAATACAGCGCTCATCACGGCCGATAGATAACTTTTTTTGATACGTGAAATGCTGAAATTCTAACAACCGACTGTTGGCCCTCGGTGAATATTCTACGGAGAAGGGAGACGCTATCTTCTAAAATATGTTATTTAATAATAATGTGATGTCTATCAACATTAATAAACCGACTAAACGGCCTCCTGCATTAACGGCCATTTTTTCATGGAACCGAAAGATATTTCCATTAGATACGTCATACATGTAAATATTTCCTCTTGTCAGCGACCATTTGACTAAGCAACCAACGGTCGCTGTTTCGTAGATTGAACTTAATTAAGCGGCCGCCTCAAGCGATTTTGAACAGTATTGTCAAAAATAAGCAGCGGTGATTACTGTTGATTTAATATCTTACTGCGACGGGAGGCACTGACATTACTTTGAATCGTGAGATTCAGAGTAGCTTATCTTGCCCAGGAATTAATTTCCGTTTCGGGTAACAGATGATTGTAATAAAACCTCTTACTGATATCATAACTTCATAATCTCGATTACGAATCCACCTCTTAATGACCAAAGGTTACAGAAGCCATTAGTAATCCCTTAATTCGTTTTTCAATGCACACGTAGATACAAATTAATTTCAAAAAATTATATTCACACAACCTTACATCACGAATTACATTAAACAGTAGTTTGAAACATAAAACATATCAAAACAATAAAACATTACAATAGCCACTAACGATTGAGTCCAGATTTTTAACCCTTTCTAGAGATCAAAAACATTGCATAACAATACAAGACTGTTCATAGTTCCAGATACCAGCATAAAGGTAATAAGAATATATTATTATCATCTCCACTTCAAGATTCCACATTCTTGTATTGTTTTGTAATGTGTTGATTTCTGAAGGGTTTACAAAAAAGTGGACTGAAACGTTAATGGCTATTTTAATATTTTACTATTCTGATCATGACTCTCCAATTAGTCGTGATCCAAGACAATAACATTAATGAAGATATTAATAAATACAAGGCCTTTCAAATGATAATTTTGGTTTGATTGTAATACTACCATAATCAATTAAATAATGGCAAATGCATGCTGGCAAGCCCAATGCTGCAAGCCCAGACAAAATGACTGGATTGCAGTAGATACAGAAAAAAAAATATTTTCATACCTTTATAAAAAACACAACTTATTTCCTTGAAAAAACTAGGCAGGTAATGCAAATTCTATTAGATCGTATCTGCATGTGTATTTTAGACTTTATGGTAAAATAATACTTTATAAAAATTTCCAATTAAGTTCAGTCTTTACTCTAATGAAACTATTTTAATCCATCATTCAGAAATTAAATTTCTGATAAAACATAAAAACAATAAATATTATTTCTAACTGACATTTTCAGTAGACTAAAATTATTTGTTTCGCCTCTAGTAATTTTCACCCCCTTTATTATTTGTAATGTTAGATAATCCAAGCAAGAAAAGTTCAAATTAAGCACACACAATGATTTAAAAAGCAAGCAAACATCTAGTGCAATCATTTACAATTCTTTACTAATATTATAATGGTGATCTGAAAAGTTCATATTTGTGCTTCTTTGCAGAAAATATACACAGTAGAAAAAAGTGTAAAGAAAGAATTTCAGAATTGATGATTCACTTCCACTTACGAGGAAAGGAGATTCATCAAGTGCTCAGGTGTAGTAGGGTCAGGACGAAGAGGAGGACTTGTAACATGGGCAGCTGCATGCTGCCAACATGTGTTCCACTGGTGAGTTCCATCTGTTCCAATGGACGATGCTAATGCCTCTCCGAAAACCACTACCCCTTCATTTCGTTTCTGGTTAATTGCATCACCTGAAGATTTGCTCATCACACGAACCACATAAAGCGGACAATTCACCTGTCATGACAACAGCACACCCACAAGCATGTTAAAATATCACAAGGTATATATTTATATTAGTATCTATACAAGCAAGTACACAATCCTATTGTTCAGTTAGTCCACACAACACCAGAAAATCATTATCAGGGAAAGGAAACAATTAAAGAAGTTGCATTTGAAATGACCCCAAAAACCTGAAATTCTTAGAATAAAGAATTTTGTTCAGTACATTTGCATACACATACTACACAATAATTAAAAAATTGGTGGCATTTCTAAAGATCCTTTTCATGCATATGCTACCCTCGTCATTGACCGCAATAGAATTGAATTAACATTTATTGTGAAATATAAACTTTAATCTGCATAATTCAGGATTTTAGTTTTTGAAAGACAAATATTTTTCATTTTACAAAACTTTTTGATAGCATCTGTTCTTCTGAAGATTACTACAACAATGGTTTTTACTACCTATGATTATAGAATGAAATCAAGAATGCTCATATCTAACAACTCCGCTTTGATTTGTAATGAATAGGTTTAAACAACATATTTGCAATGTCTACTAAACAAGCTTCAAAATTTGATTTATCATACTTTATCCATTGTGCAAGAATGAATAATAAAACTTTTTTTAACTGCTTTATATTAGTTCATTTTCATATTTTATAAAACCATTTTTTTAAATCAGTTTCAGTTCTTAAAGCTTACTGTCAGCAGAAATTATTTAATTTCTTAACCAATTAACAATTTCATCAGAACAATAACAAAAATGACTTAATACTATAAAGAAAACCATACATATCAGAAGTTCTTAAGAAATGTCGGGCAATTGTTGTTATTTTGAAGTAAGAGGATATCCCTCGTTTAGAGGAATGCTAATGTTCTAGTTCTAGATAATTTAGATTGCAAGTTGAAATTGTTTACAGTGCAATATGTTATCGATTCACAGCTTAGAATTCCTTTCTTCTATACCGAGAAAAAATAACTATTTGTGCATATCTATAAAACCATGAATGTCTTTTTAAAACCCTATATTTCATTAAAACTAAAAACTCACTGTATTTTCTATGACTAATGCAAGTTTACTACTAATTGTTTTATATTTTAGTTATTATGAATACTTTGTACTGCCCTGAAAATTTTGGAGTTTCCTGTTCATATCTATAACTCATATTTTTGCCATTTTGACCCTTTAAGGCCCTATAATAAATGCATATACAATTATTGACATTTGTTAATAGTGCATTTCTCTTCAGTGTTCTATTACTAATTGTGCATAACCAGAAGTTTAGCCTCTATTCGCTGAGGAAAGTGTGTAGAAAGATTTTTGAAATTGACTACATGTACTCGAGATGGATTGTGGAAATCTCCACTGTTCTTTTCCCAATTTCAAAACTAATAAAAAAATACATACCTATCTAAAGCAGTCGTATTAGGGTATTGTTATATTCTGAGAGAAGAGATTTTTCATTAAAATTTGATGTGCGACCAAAAGGTGTCACCCGGCGGTGTGTCGGTGTGTCCACATGGATATAAGTACATTAACAGGTAAACCTAATGCTAATGTTTTTTAATTGTTTTCTTCTATTCTTTTATAGTTTAAATATTAATGATTGTTTTGTAATTATGCAAATTGCCTTTTCAAAATTTAGCATGTGCATGTATGACACAGAAGTAATTTCTTGTGTAACTTACAGTGATTGGTTACTTTGGAATATTAAATATAAATTTCATTCCTTTTTTTTTTTTTAAGAAGTTTCTGCAGCCTGCATTTACTACAAAGCATATATCACATTCTTTGTATTTTGAGATCATCATGAATAAAAAGTATGTTTATGTGGCCATTAAAATGAACCTAAAAATGGCAATGAAGTTTATTAGTGCACTCTACATACTGTTGACATGCAGTGATATACAAAAATCCTAGTTATTTAGGAACAATGTCATGTTTGATGACAATTTTTATTCCTTAAAATCATATTATGCATCAAGGCTTAATGTTTGCATTTCTTGCACCATGAACCCTGGTGTCCCCTATCAGCAAGGTTAGTCGTTGAACTCATATTAGAATTGTGTTAAAAAATTCTGGATATTACAGAAATGGGAATTGCCAAGTTAAAGACATTGTGATTGGTAGTTATTTCATATACATTGGAAAAGTTTCAAATATATTTTTGAAGAAAGAAAAAATCTTCTTTCTAACATTTCAAACTCCAGCCATTTAATATTACAATGTAAATACAAACTACCAATTTTGACCCATTCTGTTACTGAAGACACCTTTCCTCAACCTAATTCATTAGGTCTCAAATTCTGATAACTGGTTTCAAATTTTGAAATTTAAACTTAAATGGAAATTTTGATTCTTGAATGTGCAAGTACAATTTTATGCTTTAAAACTTGTTTTGTAAATTAAGTAAAATATAAGCTACTCTATTACCCTAAATATTAAGACTAAAATGGAACTAATTGCCCTTAATATTTTAATTTATATCTTTGAAAAACAAAACAAGACAACAAACAACTAGCAAGTCTAAATTGAAAAGAATGATAATATAATAGAAAAGAAACAAAAAGAGAAATTGACAGAAGAGTACAAACCAAAAACACAACAGCAATATTTACAGCTTTAACATGCAAGTGTAATTTGAGAAACAATTCTTGTAACTTTACATCATGCAGATGACAATTCAAATAATCACTATGCATCTAATAAAAGTAAGAAAAGATAAAATTCAACATTCAGACAACAATTTTCTTACAATCAGGAATTGTTGATATTTGCCAAGACTGAATAATTGAGCGAGTAAAAGAATCAGATTTAGTTTGATGATCTATTATTATCATCCTGGAGGTGGATCTACAGGAAAAAAGAATCTGTTTCAATGATATAATATATGATATAAACACAACTAAATTATCAATTCTTTAGAGCACTGAAAAAGCCAGTGTTCTTATTTTAGAACACCAAGCTAATGAACCTTTTACAAAACAATTTATTTAAGTTTAATGGCTTGCCAGATGGAGGATTATTTTCAGTTCCTTCCTTACATGTCAGTATTTTTAGAACTCAGATTTTAAAAAATTCTTTCGGCCTGTAACATAGTGAAGTGTTCTGCTTTATTTATTCTTGGTGGCAACGTCTTCATGAAATTTAAAATTTGCTGATATATTTCAATAATACAAGTTATATTTTACTGTTATTTTAACCTTATCTAAAGAAACATCTAAACTACCATAAACTGGCCTGATTTTGCACCTGTGAGGTAACTTATGACAGAAGTTTTAGGTGAAAGCAAAAAGTAAGTTTTTCTTAAGGGAGAGATGTTTTAGCTTTATTCAAATGATCTGGCAACACTAAGTAGTTATCAATAATGAGTGCCATGTACATCTTTTCTGACTAGAGGAGACTTATTTCTTTACCACTAGAACTATATCCCAGAGATAAAGGAGTCGATTTCACCTTAAAAGGGGCACTTGATCCAGTATTTTCCACATTTTTTTATTCAATATTTATCCTAGTTTAAAATGCCAGTTCATGTTTTGTTAAAAATTAATATCTAAAGTCTCAGTATCAAAATTAATTAAAAGTAACCTGGTGGTTAATGAATCAGTAATGACTTTGCACCATCAAAATTCTGGTGCAAATTTATCTCGTTTAGTAAAACTGAACTTTTCAGAACTTTTACCAAAATATTTTATTCTTACTTTGCATTACGAAATAATATTTGTAGTAATTTTTCATTTTCGACAAAAAATGCTGGCAACATATAAATGGAAACCAGGTAGCATAAGTTTCAGGGATTACTTCAATAAAACCCTGGAAGCCTGCCTTCAAGGCATCAAGGCAGGTAATATCTCCTGGTGCAATGCAATGTTAAAAGTATAAAATATCTCGCAGAACAATTAATTACATGTCAAAAGATCAACAACCCAAGAAACCAGGCGGTCACTCAGTTTTCAATGAAGATTTTTAGTTGGCGATACATTTATTCAGTTTAGTTGTAATTTAATGGTAACAAACTGTAACAAATATTTCTCTCGAGTACATCTTGAGAAAAACTGTTAAAACTAATAAAAAGAATTTACCTCTCGCTTGTTTATCTTCAAAAACCCTTTCTCAATGTAAAAAAACCTTTTTTTCAAATAAAATTTCATTTTTTGACAAGGATAAAGAACAAAAATTATCAAACAATTTGTAAATGATAATACTGTGCTTTGAATTTGCACCACCATCAGTTTTAAGGACATTTTAAACAAGAAACTAATGTTGGTACAATGTCAGTTTATTCCAGATGACTATGAACCAAATGCCAAAACACAAAGAAAATATTAGAATTTTTGCAAACACATTCTATCTAAAAGTGGATTTGATATCTACAGAATTTCAAAATTAAACAAAGTTTGAATTTTTTTCCAAATTCAATAAAATTACTACAGACAAAACACTGGTTAATATTAAGAAGATTGGGGCAAAGTCAGGCCAGTTTACGATATTTAAAATAATATTATTTTCAAAAATGTTTAAGAAAAATAAGTAAATAAACTGACTGGTAACTAACTAGAAAGACAACCTGAATCATTACACTGAAAACCTTCATAAATCCTAGCAGATCAGAAAAACTGGATTTAACGATGAGTAAGGTTGAAAAACTTCTTACAGTAGTTAACAATCCATTACACAAAGCATCCAATAATGTTTTAGAGATTAATCTTTTAAATTAAACTGAAAAATTTCACTTATAACTACAAAGCTCTAGCTACAGCAAACCACAAGCTCTAAAAAATTACTGTGCAAACGCAAGGTGTTGATATAATCACTACAGATTGGTACTGAAAAGCTATATCAGCATAAGGGATCAAAAATGATATTGGTCTAATTTTATAACATTATTATACATTGTATCTTATGTTATAGCTTTTATATGCCTATTTACTTATGCAGGGACGGATCCAGAAACAAATTTTGGATCGGGAAATTAAAAAGATTCTGGTCGTATGTGTCATTACAGATTTTGTAAAATGTTGCAGACTACACTTGGCTCATGCTGCGATATGATTTTATTCTTCTTAATGATTATCCAAAAATATTTTAGCTTGAAAGTTTTGTGACAAGTTAAAATGAATAGTTAATTATATAAAATAATAAATTTAGGGGGGAATTTCCCTCATTTCCCTCCCTGTGTATCCGTGCCTGACTTGTGTTATGAGTACATTAAACGGCTCATTGTTATACCCAATATAATAAAACTCATCAGGTATAATAAAGAGATAAAAACCATAATTACACCTGATGCAATAAAGGGTACTGTCAAAGTCAATATAATACAATTAATCACACAGTCATCAAGTTAGAAAATGTGTCAAAATGTTAAAAACATTATTCGACAACATAAAATATACATTGCATGTGGGAAACAGACCATTACGTGCTCATTAGCAATTGTACTCTCATGTTACTATACTCTTGAATAATCAACTACTATACATGTAATAGTCTCTTTTACCGACTTATAAGATTAATAATTATTATCATTTATGATTATGTTATGCTTGATTAGTGCACCCATATAGATGCTATAAGAAGCTTCATTTTAGCACTAATGTTCTAATACATTTATTATAGCACTATTGTGATTAGGTCTTTACTGCAACACTCACTTTTCATGACAAAACAAGTATTGTTTAAAGGACATGAATTACGTTAATATCTTGAGATGTTCTTGTAAAGTAATGAGAGAAAAAAACATTTAAAATGTTTTTGTAATCATTGTAGACAAAAGCTTGAATAATACATATTTGATTTAACTCCGTTATGATACTTTTATTACTTCATTATGGTGTCCACAATCAAACTTGTTTCAGTTATAAATATCATTTCATGAATGCATAGCTAATAAATAATGTAGCTGAATCTTACGAAGGAGTTCCCATTTTAGTACTGAAGGTATATTCTTTTCACATCTCTCAAAAGTGGTCATTTATACCGAATTTAAGTACAACGTTTTGCCCCAAACATTGTAGGCATTCAAAACAATGCCATAATTCAAATCCAAGATTCAAAAATTTGCAGAGGAGAACAATTAACATTTTGCACACATACAAGGTTTAATTGCATGTTAACTGCTATTGTCCTTAAAAAATAGGGTACAGATACTTTGCAATCACACAAAGGGGGTAGTAGAATAAGATAGGCAAAACTACCCCAGGGAAAAAAAAAATTGTATGTGGAAAATCATAATTTAAGTTACACAAGAGTTGACACGACCTTTTTTAAAATGTACGATATTTTTTCATAAATCTGGATATCGAAAAAAGAGACTTGTTTTTGTTTGTTTTTTTTTCAGCTTAAAAATTATTATTATTATTATTATTATTATTAGTGTAGTGAGGCCTGTATTAAATTTTGGAATCTTCGCAGGCTTTGGAAATTATGATCAATTGTTGCTCTGAATGTACTTAATATAAAAATTAGTGTTTTGTTCCATTTAATATTTTGAAACATGTATTTTATTCCTTTGCACATAATATTTTAATTTTTTAAAAAATTAAAATTTCTTTATGAACTCCTTCAGATAAGAAATTGAAAAAAATATAGGTGTATTTCTTGTTCAATTTTACATTAAATACAAGAAAAAAATCAGGCACTACACAAGTACAGTTCTCTAAAAAATCAATTGTAAGGCTGAAGGCATGCTCTCCGTGCCCATGCACTAAGGAATTGTGTTTGGTCAGTTTTTGATGGAAGTGCTAAAGAACTACAAAAAGACTGACATCATCTTATTAGGGTTTCAAGAAATATTAGTATCTCACATGTTCACTCTACTTCCAGAAAGAATGGGTGACAGTGATACGAATTCAACTACTGCTTTCCCTCGTGACAGTGAAACAAATTTTACTGCTAGATCCCTTTGCGACCAAGGGATTGGACATTCTCCTGACCTTGCTCGTAAAATACAACAGACAACTTGTAGAGGGACAGGAGTAAAATTTTCTGAACATCAGTTGGTATACGCATCTTGTAAAGTGAAGAGTACTAGAATTTGTATTGTGAATTGTGTGTACACTGTGCAATGTAAATGGCGGTAGCCATGCAAGATACAGTTTCAATCCATTTAATCTTTGTGATCATGATTTTAAGAAGAGAACATTTTTAAGTCACTGTAACAGCAATTTACTAGCAAAACTTGATTTAAAGTAAAGTTGCTAGATATGTGAATTTGTGATTCACACTGGAAAATGATTTACTTCTTCAATGGTTCAAGTGCACTATACAAAAATAAAAAATATTAAAAATTAAAATATTTGCCTCCATGAATATTTTTGGGTATGTGCTGAATGGCATTTTTTGAGATGTCCAATGATAAAAGAATGCTATGGCAATGGAGGAACTGTTAATAAACTTGACATTCTAGCCAGTCTACAACCAGGTCAAGATTCAATTACAACACTGAAGAAACTATTTAATTTGACAGAAAGAAGTACTTTCAAAATTTTGTTTAAAATTTTTTTTTATATAAACACAGTCATCATGGTGAACATTTAAAGTCTAGGTATCAAAATTTAAAGCCAATAACTGCAAACTTGAAAAATTAATTCTTTCACTCACTGAAGCTTCAGTGAAACTATTTTATTTTGCTACAGGCAGTAAGAGTGAATATTTCAAGTGAGTTGTGAGGGACAAGAAATTACAACCTCCAAGAGACAGTGACCATGTGGGCGAGGAGGTTTGTGTGCTCTTATGGAGCTGAGGGCATACAGGGGTAGCATTGATGATGGGTTTAGGAATCGATCAACGATGCTACCGATAGGGGCACTCATGCTGTACAGGTCTCTATGCTGAGGAGCTCTCCCAGGCTGAGGAGCCAGACAAAGGGCTGTCTCACAACGACCCACGAGTACTTCTTCATCACCTCTATCCAAAGTCCGTCAGGCTCGGTTCCCATGTCCCTCCCTCTTCCCCACTAACAGCAACTAGCCATAAATGTGGTCTCTTTACTAGTGTTGCAAGGCTATTCTCCCTTTGTGTTATACTATATTCTTCCCTATTTGACAGATCTTTGTCTTGGTTTTTCAACCCTGATGCTATTAGGTTGTGAGGGCTAGGGAGTCATTATTTCCTTCTCTCTTCTTTCCTTACTCTATTCTATATTTTCTCCTTCCTCTTTCTATCTATTTCTGTATTTTCTCTTCATTTCTGACTTCAACCTGCTGCCTTGCAGGAGGGGGTGGAGCCACCAAAGGCTAAGGGAAGGAAAACCCTGAAACAAAACCATTGGTAGAGAGGACTCAGAAGGGCATGGAGCCAACCTCTCTGGGGGAGAAAATCCCAAACAAATCCTGGCCTGCCAGGTTGCAGGTTGGGCTATGGGCATTCCCGTAAAAATCTAAACATGGTAAAAACTCTAAGCAGCCATTAAACAGATCCAATTGAAGATGACTTAAGCAACGAAACCGGACAATGTAAATGGCAATGTGGAACGTACAGGGTATTAGCAAAAAGTAGGAAGAAGTATTCAGTCAGTTGGAAAAGTTAAGTATAGACATTTGTTTATTAAAAGAAACAAAGAAGAAAGGAAGAGGAATTGAAGACTACAATATATCCATATTTATAGTGGTGTAAACAAAGATAATAGGACTAAATGTGGAGTATCAGTAGCAATCCACAAAAAAATATAAGAACCTGGAATGAGATCAATGAGAGACTGCTAACAGTGGAGTTAGATATATTTGGCCATACTAGGGTAATTTTATCAGCATATGCTCCAACTGAAGATGCAACAGAATCTTTAAAAGATTATTTTGAAGATGAGTTAATGGCACTATTAGATATTCCTTCAAGTAAGGAAATTCTAATAATGGGGGACTTAAATGCTTGAATGGGAAGTAATCAAAATAATAATATAGTGAGTAACTATGGAGAAAAAGTATGTAATAAAAATGGAGAGAGATTAATAAATTTATGTAGTCAGATGGATCTTAAAATCATGAATGGGTTCAATAGACACAAAGAGATCCATAATTATATGAGGACACAATCTACCAGGAATAGTAAGTCAATAATTGATTATGTGATATTAAGACAGAGAACACATCTGAAATGCCAAGACATCAGAATATTAAGAGGTGCACAATGTGGTAGCGACCACTATTTAGTTAGAGCTCTTCTTTATTTTTTCACAAACCAAACTTCCAAAAGATCAAACTATCAGAAACTCGTTCTCCATGTAACCCAAAAATATATCATTTGGATAGCTTACAAAATGACTCGACTAGTTTCCTGTATAAATTTAGATTGGCAAATAAATGTAAATCAGCCAGCAAGTGAGCTATACGAACAAATAAAAACAGTAATTCATGAAGCAGCATTTGAAGCATTAGGTGAGAAGCCCAAACTAAAGGTAAGAAAAACACACTGGTGGAATGAAGATTTGAAGCAAATGATCGAAGAGACGAAAGTGAAATATAAAAAATGGCTAAGCTCAGGAGACCCCAAAGATAGAACAGCAGACAGAATATCAATAGAAGAGTTAAAAGAGCGGTAGCAAGAGCTAGGACACAGGCTTGGGAAACAAAATGCTCTGAAGTAAATAGGTAAATGGGAAGCAATAGGTCTAGAGAGGCATGGAAAGCGACAAAAAAACGAAAAACAGATGTGTCATGTAAATACAGAACGTCACCAATCACTATTAAACAGTGGGCAGCATATTTTCAAGAACTTTTGAGAGAGGATAGAAAAGAATACAAGTACATCAGTTATAATGCAGATAATGTACAAATGCAGGATGACATCCTAAAAAATAACTCTAAAAGAACTAAACAACACTCTGAAGGGGATGAAAAATAATAGATCCCCAGGCCCAGGAGGGATACCAGTTGAACTGTTAAAACTCTCCGGATCAAATGAAAGAAATTATTGTAAACCTATTTAATTAATATCTCATTGATCAAGAAGAAATTCCTCAAGAGTGGGAAAAAAGCAGAAATTATAGCAATTTATAAAAAAAAGGCAATAAAGAAATATGTGAAAACTATAGAGGCATTAGTGTCACAAGTTCAATTATTAGACTGTACGGGCAATAATTAAAGGAAGAATAGAGTCAGGGATAGAAAATCTGGAAGAACAAAGCGGTTTTATGGCTAGCCGTTTATGTGTAGATAACATTTTCTGCATCCAACAAATTTTAGAAAAAAGGTAAGTCTATGGAAGATATTCTAATTTATTGTTTGTCCAAAAAGCATATGACAGTATTCCCAATAGCAGACTTTTTAAAATTTTAGAACAAAAATGTAATTTTAAATTAGTTAATACCATTAACAAAATGTATAAAGACAGTAAAGGTATTGTGAAAGTAAACTGACAAGTATCAGATGATATAATAATTTCTAAAGGATTGAGAAAGAGGTGCTGTACATCCTCAACTCCTTTTAACAATCTGTCTTTGAATAACCAAATATAGTCGTGAAGATGCATCATCTCAAGAAGTACTTCAACTACTGCATCAACCAAAAGAACTGCTAGTCAGTAATCCAAGAAACGTGTCTCTCGCAGTAATCTACTACACATTGGTTTGTAAAAAAATCATATTTTTTAAAGTTACTGAGATCCCACTTTGATTGTTTCTGGAGTAGTCATTCAGACTTTAACACTTTTATAAATTTTTTTATACAACTGAGTTTACAAAAATATTCAACTTTCAAAATTTATTTAAAAAAACAAAAAAAACTGAAAATTCAAGAAAAGTTATAATTTGAAAAATCTAAAAAAATAAAAATATTTTTAAATTTCAAATGGAACTTTAACAGAGTTTCTATAATTAGTGTATTCCAATTTGTGATACTTCAAAGATAGTGATGCGTGTCATTTTTAGCAAATTTCAACATGCAATACATCCAAGAATAATTAAGTTAGAGGAAACAATAAAAATACACATGTTAACATATTTCATCCATAAAATAAATACAAAAAAATGAGAAAATGATTAAAAGTATGAAGGTCAAATTTTGGTCTTTTTTTGTGCAATTTGACATAAAATGGCTCTTTTAACCACATTACACCAGTGAATATGGACTTTAATTATCCTTGCAAATTTCTATAGATGGTAAAGATGTTTCAAGATTTTTTTCAGGCATTTACATCCAATTTTCCAATAATCTGATTTTGAAGCTTACAATCAACAAAAAAGAAGGGAAAATAGAGAAAAAATATACATCTTTCTCTCGTTTTTTTTGAGAATATCTCTGACACGCATCGTAAAAACAGCTAAATTCAAACTATACCCCTGTAAATTCTCTAGTTTCCTACAATTTCAACCTTTTATCTTATAATTTGCACCCAACAGCTCAATATAAATAAAACAGTAATTTAATAGTTTTTTATTTATTTTCTTAAAATTAGGTTTTTGCAACTAATTTTCTTAGTTTTAGTTTTTCTGTTGACTGCAAAAGATAAATAATGAAAAACAAAATAGTGAGAATAATATAAACTACTGTAATTTGAATATTGAAGGAAATAAGTATATTACTAAAAATAATGTTTCTATACTTTATGAACCATACACGGAATATTTTCATTGCTTTAATTACTTAATAATACCGTGAACTCTTGTTTCTGTACTTGGCATGTGTATTAAAATGCCCAGAAATTATGCAAATGTTCAATAAGCAACAGTTTTCGAATTAAGTGTGTACCGCAACTGAGATTTCCTTTTGGTATAAAAACGTGCATCATTACAAAATGAATATGAGCTTCGGAAGGAACATTAATTAGTTCAGTGTTTGAAAATCACACAAACCAATATTTTTATGTAGCAACAGTTCTCTGAAAAGGCATTTCAATTAATTCTATTTCCACATCTCTTTAACCTGTACTGTGCAAGATGGATCATCGTAACTTAATTGAGATGTTAGTTCTAATACCGATAGAGATTCTGACAGTTCTGATAGGTATTTTTGCTACTTAGAGATTTCTGAATCTTGCTGTGTGGAAGTAGATGATAAACAATCTACACTCTTCAGTATATCCGATGTACATATGACATGTGTGATTTCCGTTGTAGAGGTGAATGGCAGACTTTTTGCATCAGGTGACATTAAACCAGATGACTCAAGTTTCAAATATTGCACCTTACTAGGTAAAGTTTCCTCATTCTTGGGAGTGACCTGCAGTGTAGTGGTAACGACTGCTCGCCTTCCACTGATAAGAGTTCAAAATACCATTCGATCTATGTGAAATTTATGGCAGACATACTGGGTTCATGGCAGTTTTCCTCAATCTTGGAGGTGAGTTGCAGTGAAGCAGTCAATACCACTCTCATTTCACTGCTGAGACCGGGATTCAAAATCCCATTTGACCCATGTAAAAGTTGTGACAGACAAATTGAGTTCATAGCAGGTTTTCTTGGGGGTTATCCTGATTCTTGTGCCTCTAATTCCAACATGGCTCCATCATCATTCACATTGTATCTTCATAATTACCTACCCTTTAAGTCATTCATCCATTCCTGGTATGATCATAATGCTTAGGCACTGACATTATAATAAAGAATAAATTTCTCATTCTCAGGCCCAAACTGTAGATAGCCTTAGCTGTTTGTTGCAAGTGAAAACCCCAAACAAATTAAATTTTACATAATAACAACAAAATCAATAATAATAATAATAATAATAATTATAATAATAATAATAATAATAATAATAATAATAAAAATAAAAATGATAATTCATATTATTCAACCATCATGAATACCTTCCAAGGGCAATTTTAATTTAAAAATCAGGATATGTACATTTCTGGAAAATTGCATTATCATTTGAGAGTGATAATACTTTCTCTGTGGATACAGACTTGATACCTTAATAATACGCAAAATTAAGTTTTACACCAACAGTAAAAAAAATTAAGAATTACAAAAATACTTTATGAACGTTAAATAGGAAAAATAAAGGATGAAGTATCCTTTTATAAACTTTAAAACTATCTTTTAAACACAATAAAACATTTAATACATTATTAAAAAATTAAAGATTAACCTAACTTAGCTTACCACTATTCAGAACTTACTTTGCTAAATATTCCACTAGTCTATCTTTAGTGGAAGGGTCTGGATTCAATGGTGGACTTAGAATATGTGCAGCTGCATGTTGAAAACAAGGATGAGAACAATGTGTACCATCAGTACCCACAGCAGCAGCCAGTGTCTCTCCAAAGACTCGCTGACCATTTTTTCTTGCTGCATCTACAACTGCTGCTGCAGACTTGCTCATAACATGCACAACATAAAGAGGGCAAGACACCTACAAAAAACATGCAAGTGAAACTGAAAAATAAAACTTTTCATGCAATACAATAAAATAATCACTACTCTAAATGTTGAAAGCATGGAATGTAAATTTCAGCATTCCTCTCTTTGCAAGTATGATAGCATTCCAAATGGAAGGTAAAATAAAAAATAAAAAAAAAAATTTAAAAAAATTCTGAGGCAATCAAGTGCACAATAACTTCACAAACTAGTGAACTAGAACTGTCAAATAAATGGTAAATCAGGATATACCAAAGTATCATAATTAAGAATATTCTAAAAAATCTTCCTGAGAAATATGGATTGTGCTTTAAAACTTTCACCACATGACATATGCTATAGCGTTTCAACTATATACCAAAGGCAAAAATCCAAATATTTAATTATTGGAGAATATACATTAATTATACAATCTATTATCTCAAAGTAATTACAACTAAAAATACATTACATGTATGGTACAACGTTTAGTTACTTCTGAAAGCATCAAATGACCAAATATTTATACCCTTGCATCATATTATTTTTCCCCCATTTGAACTCTTCATATTTAAAATAAAAACATTATAAAGTTCACAGAAAATGGTTCTGCATTTCAAAACCATAATATGTACCGTATATCATACATTATTTTTCTTCTTACAGACACCTAAAAAAGTTTGAGAGGTGCTTACAACAAAAAAAATATTTTTTGAAACTTTACCTAAAATATTATATATACTGTATATACTAATGTACACACATGCTTCATCACGGACAGCTAGTACATTGTGTGCAATAAATACCACATTGCAACCTCCCCTTATTGGAATTCAAGTACAATGTGGTGATGACAAATATAATGTAGGGAATAAAGACCGAGGGAGGAAAAGGCCCAGTGAGGAAAAGGCCCAGTGAGGAAAAGGC